ATATTTTCGTAGAACACGAGTGCAAAGTGATTCAAGTCGGATTCTAAGTCTTAATCACTGGCCAAAAGAACGATAATAGAGATTCTGTTACTTGGATTTAACCATTCTTTATGAATCTATAGATTCTAATAGAACTTTCAGGGCGCATGTAAACACTTATCGCGCCGGTTTGGTTGGGCAGCTTGATCAGCGGTGAGGTTAAAATCGTTGTTTTTCGGTTTTGTGACCAAATTTGCATCTAAGGTGTTCCATCTTTTCGGAGATTACTTCTGTACGTGTTTGAAAATTAGTGAATGGCGAATACTATTTGGTTGAAACCTGGTCATCTAGTAGGATCTTCAAAGCTGGGCACTTTGACATTTGTATCGGAATATGTGGTCAAGGCATCCCATGACTAACCCTGGCGAGATATCTCTTAATGCCTTAATGTCAAAAACAGTAGAAATAGGTTTCCTACAAGTGTATCATCTTTTTCGATTTCCTCGAGCGACGAAAGCAAGTTTTGAGGAATGTAGTTTGGAAGGTTTTGCCTTTTTATCGCTAGTTCTTATATTTATTTTTTTTAGAAAGCTTCAGCGTTGTCTCAGCAATATGAGGGGATCAATGCGAATGGCAATTGATAGTTTGGAAGGGGGTGTGGAAGACAATCTTAATGCTTCCAATATATGATGTACTATCACTTAGGTATTTATATGGGTATGTGTTAATAATTTTGTCTTTCCTAGCGAGATTAATAAAAATCTTTTCGACAAAGTGGCATATTCAATGTTTTTCATCAATAAGCAGACACGAGGTTGTTAATATAGAATTTATTAGAACACAATTGCTACAAAGTGGCATATTGTTGATGTAATATGTAGTTGGAAAGAAATATTTTACATACATTTATATATATATATATATATATATATACATGTATTCGATCACATCGTTGCAAGGATTTTGACCGAGTTACTTAATTAGGATTGCTTGTGATATGGATTGATCCCGAGTTGTTTTTTAAGTACTCACATTGTCTTTTGTAAATTTTTCTTATTTTGTGCTCACTTCGAATGAAATTTTATGAAACTAATTCAGAATGTGTTGATATCGTAACATTCGGTAGAACTACCACTTTATTGTTATTCATATGAATGGATGGTTTCTCGCAATGCTCTAACGAAGACATTTTATTGGTACTTATGCGAATTCATATGTTTTCCCTTTTGTGTGTGTGTGTAGGTCTACGTAGCTGTCCAAAGTGCCTGGTTATGTGTTTGAGGCCATTTATATTTGACAATTCCGCATCAGTCAAAGTTTCGAGTGTAAAACGCTGACCTAAAATTCATATTTTGTGAATGTCTGCATGTATCCCATCAAAAGTTGAAGAAGTGAAATTTTTTTCTTGCAGATGCTTTAGTGGAAATGACATATTTCGCCGATAGATTTTTTGCTTTAAGAAACTGCCTCATTATTTTTGCTATTGTGTTCATTTTTATACCACGACTGGGTACTTATTGGGTGAGTCCTTATATATACCTATCGCACCTTTTCATGTTTTTTAATTGAATAATTCCCTCTTCAATAGTTTATCTTTTCACCATGACGATGGAGTGTTTGTAGGTGCCCCATCATTATATGTAGCAAGTGTTCCATACGGATTACTAGTCCTCTATGATAGGAATGTACGAACGATAATGCATTTGAACGACAACCGATAGACAAGAGCTGTTAGTGACTGGATTCCTCGAGATGTTACACGTACTGCAGGAGGACAACCAACTCGATTCTTTAGAGTTCTTTACGAGAACCATGGAAAAAAGATATGATGATCAACGAATTCCTAGAGCGAGCAGGACTCTCTAATCTACTCCTGCATGCGACAGGGAAAAATGAAAGATTTACTGGGGCCGGCTCTAGTCACTCGACGATCAATGGGACTGCAGGTGATATAGGTCAACATAAGAAGGAGCATGTTATGTTTCCATGTTGGAGTCCATTTAAGACCAGCCGAGTTCCAGCTATCGGTGCCTTTCTAGAAGATTGCTGGTGGTAATGTGAAAAACTTCCCGCAAATCCATAAACGAAGGGGATTCCTTGCGGTAACGATCTGGTAGAAGGTTTCTGAATATTCGCCGAAAAAATATTACCGGCGCAAATACCAGTCGAATGAAAAATCTTTATCATGCACGTTGTACCTTAACGTGAGCCATTAAGATATCTGTAAATGTTAGGTGCTTTAACACTTTGTTCAACGTCGTTTCTTCAGCAACAGGACATTTTGATAACTAAAGCATAGTTAGAAAATGGGAACTTTGTAGGATTATGGAAGATGCTTGGCTCTAGGGGCAAGTGTGGTCCTCCGAAGGTGTTCTTTCGTATTAAAAGTCGTTTTAGATTGAAATCTTGTAATAATTGTAAAAAGAGTAGTTTTCTAAAATTCGTATCATGAGTTCGACGGCAGTATACATGGTCCATCGGAGCACTCGTTGCGTCCTTTATCCCATTTAAATCGTGCAGTTATTTGAGATACGACATTAAAAAAGGGAAAAAAATGCAGTGCAATGCAATTTATGGGTTTATTTAAGCCACATTTCGTTGTAGCAAAACAGAGGAATTCTATCACATTGCTAAATTTCTGTGTACATATGTTTCTCGTCTAGTAGCATTATTCGTCGAGTGAAGCTAGCGGCAACCATTGGGTCTGCTGTAGTTTGTCAAGTCTGTTCCATGCCATTTGGTCTGGAAACTTTTATTTTTATTCGAGTGTGCAAAAAGATGGCCACGAGCGTTCGCCAAGTCCTGCCGTAGCATAAACATACTCCCAGCAGCGCTTAGTGATGGAATTGTCGAAGGTGGATTCAGGGACTGTGCTATAGAATATTCCCAAATATATACATCGTCGTTCGATACCATGGTTTTAGTTTTATACAGCTCTATCTGCATTTAGCACAGGTGTTAACTTTATCCAAATTTAGGTCGATAATGGAGAGGGTTATGAAAAAGGTAATAGACGACGATTTCTCGCAGTGCTGAAGATGGAATGCCTATCGGTTTTGTGTAATTTCTTTCTATATAAGCAGCTAATGGCTTACTTTGATAAAAAGGAATTCAATAAATTTGACAAGCATATGGTAAGTAATTGACGAAAATACCCTTAAATGTGAGAAGTCGCTCCTGACACTTTGTAGAGTTGGTGTGAAAAGGGCCTATTCTTTTCTTGAAGAGGTGCGTATGGAGCAGTGGTCGGAGGCGCCGTGCAACACTTGTGAATCGATCCCCGCGCCCGTCACTCACCAAGCTTTCCATCCCTTCGGGATGGACAAGTTGGTACCAGATCTGTCTGGGAGGATAGCAGCACTGACTTGATGCTTCGGTGGGCCACCGCGAGTCATTGTAAAGGCCAGATGTGCATTTAATCGCCATCAACGATGCTTAATAAAGTCAAATGCATGGCGAATCCATTAGGGATTGATCAACGCCGAGAGATTTATCCTTTTTTCTATCATTTATTTTTAAAACTTTGTCTGAACACGCTTGTGAACTGAATCCTCACTTTGACATTGCAAGTTTTGCAGTCTTATTGATTTGATTATGGTGGAGCTAACTTCTTATCAAGTTGTGTAGACAATGCTCAGATTCTGTTGTTGACTTAGAAGTGCTTTCATAAGGGCTGCAAAAAATATTAGATGATGAGAAGTTAGGAGAGGATGATTTCAGAAGAACCGTCAGATTGCTTCTACAGCGTTAATAGTTTTTTTGGTCGCTTCCCAAATGCTTTATTTTTTGTACTTTGCTCCAGCTACAATCCAAGTTTGTTTGTTTCTTTTTCCTTTGATATTGTTAAATTTTCTGTTTTACCTTTTATTTTCTGCCTACTACAATTTTCAGGGCAGGGTACTAAGCGAAATGCGACCACAGCGTTGCTGAGATATTTACAAAACTCTGGACCGCAGGTGTCTATGGTGGGGAAAGAACGCGCTATTGTCCTTTCCGGGGAGTGACGCGTTCACCACCACACCATGTGGGTCCTTCGTTTCGCGTGTCTCTCAGCTAGTTCTATCGATTAGCGGCGCCATCAGCAATCACCCGTCAACGGGATTGATCTGAGGAGCCCACATCGGCATTGAATCCAGTTAAGCTGAGGCTGTAGTTTAAATCACACCGTTTTACCTTTTATTTTTCTCTGCCGTGAAAATTGTAGTAGGCAGAAAATAAAAATAAAACATTGTGATTTCAACTGCAGCCTCAGCTTAACTAGGTTCAGTGCCGATGTGAACTTCCCAGATCAATCCCGTTGACGGGTGATTGCTGATGGCGCTGATCGGTAGAACTAGCTGAGAGACACGCGAAACGAAGGACCCACATGGTGTGGTGGTGAACGCGTTACTCTCCGGAAAGGACATGAGCGCGTTCGTTTCCCACCATAGACACCTGCGGTCCAGAGTTTTGCAAATGTCTCAGCAACATTGTGGTTCGATTTTTTGTTCTACATCGTTCCCCTCAGTTCTACTACTCTCAAATTTTTATTTGTTTATTTATTCTCAGTTTAAAATGTTTTTTTTGGTTTGTTTAAGTCTATTTTACCAACCACATTTGCAATTAGAAGATTTTTATAGATATTTTAGTTCATTCTTTTTGACATATGCGCTTTGGTATCAGGAATTTGGACTAATCTCCTTGGTTTTGTTGCTGGATTTTTCCTTCTGGACACTTTTATATATACGTTAAATGTATGTGAGCTCAATTTTTATTCCCACCATTGAAAAATAGTTGATTTCAACTGTTTTCTTCAAGGCTATATCACGAACAAGACCCATAATTGCAAGGATGAATGAAATTCCGTACATCAGTTCTCTGATATTTGACCGAAGATGTCAAATCAGGTTAGATTTCGGTCTATTAGTCAACTCGACATTCGGATTTATAAGAAGTTTATCGTCGGCATTTAACGTAAATCGATTAGGCTTACCCTGGCAATGACAGCAGTGATGTCTTTTCTAATGTGGTATAGTTGCGATATGATTGTCGTCAAAGAGATCACACTTCCTATAAAGGTAGGGTATTTCTATTGTTTGACGAAATTTAATCAGTTTATTACACATTATCTTCAAACTTATTAAAATAATAGTTCTTGCATGTTTATTTATAACTTCCAGAATTTTTCTGGTGATGGAGGAACTGTTCGGCTGGCTTTAGTATCTGATTTGCACGTTGGTGCAAGCGTACATCAAGAACAGGTAGAAAGATTTTAAGGATCACTTTTCTTCTCCGATGTTTTCTTTACAAACTTCTAATTGTTTCAGATTTTTCGGTATATTTCACAAATGTTTACTTTCATGTTATTTCTTCGCATTTATTGTCTATTGTTTAGCACTTTCCCATGTTTAGGTTGCACGAGTAGTAGATACACTTCTAAAGCTCGATGTAAATGCAGTGGCGCTAGTAGGCGATATAGTAGATGGTCCAGTTGAAAGCTTGGCTGATCGATTGATGCCGATATGGTGATTCTTTTTCTTTTAAGAAATGAGCGATTATCCTTCTCGGTTTGTGAATGTGATTGGGGTTCCTAGTGAGTGTGGCACTTCAGGTGTTTGCCGTGCACTACATTTATAACTACACAGGTATTAAATTTATCAGTGTTATGTTACCTTATGCATGTGTTGTGGGGCGTGTAATACTTCGGTTAAAGTTGCCGTGCAATACATCCTGGATCTTGCTGCCCCAGCTCTCCAAGTCTTCCATCTTTTTGGGGTCGGCAAATTACCACCAAACTTGTTTAGGAGGATAGTAGCACTAACTTGATACATCGGAACGCAACTGCATGTTGTTGTGTAGGACAGATATGCATTCTACCAGCTCTACGATGCTTGATGAAGTCGAATGCCTGGTTCATCCCTCAGGGATTGATCACGGCCGAGTGCTTTATCCTCTATTTTCTTATGAATTTGTGTCATTGCGTGTGGTCGACGAGAGTTGCCATTTATATCTATCATCGGTCTGGTAGATAGAAAAGTAGCTGAGAAAACGGCGAAAACAAGGATCCACATGGTGTGGTGGTGAATTCGTTAGTCCCCAGAAAGGGTAATGGTGTGTTCAACCCCACCGTAGACAACTGAGGTCTGGAGTTTTGCAAATATCTCAGCATAATTATAGTTGTATCTCACATAATACCCTGCCGTGAGAGTTTTTAACAGGCAGTAAATAAAAACGTTGTGCTTTTAACTTGATATTGCAATACTGCACTTAATTGACTTAATGCGTAAATAGTTGTTATGCCAGACTACGAACTTTCCTGTTCCTCGTTGCCACTACGGTTTGGTCGTTTTGGTGCTTTATCTCTCCTGTCTGTAATTTAGGCCGCTTCGGTATCGATTTACATGCTTCTTCGTTACCGGAAACCATGAGTATTACTACGGTGATGCCGTTAAATGGTTCACTTTTTATGGAGATCGTGGAATTCATGTGCTTAATAACAAGTAATGCCATCTATGTATACAAGTCCAAGTTTTACAATTAGTTGTTGGACGTTTCAGTTTTTCTTGCTTATGTTCTTTTTTCACTCAGAGCGAGAATGTTCCACAATATCTGTATCGTTGGAGTGAATGATATTTCAAGCAAATATTCGGGGTTTGTATTACAAGTGTTTTACATTTCGTTGTCTTATTTCGGTTTACACTTTACATAAAGAGTTAATCATTGTAGTTTGAGCTCTGCTTTCATGCAAATAATTATTCGTGTGAAACCTATTCCTTCACTTTTTTTTACAGGTAATTAGAGACAGTTTCTCTTGCAAATTGTGAACGAGATAGTTTGAAAAGTTTCAGCTTACTGTTATACGGTGCAATAAACTCTGTTATTCCGTCTTTTCAGGATAAACAATCATGAGATGAACCTTAACGAAGCGGTACAAAATTGTACCAGTGGCACCACACGTGTTCTTCTTGCTCATAATCCAGCTAGTGTTCTTAGCTTCCCTAAAAAAGATTTTGACGAAATTGATGTAGTGTTTTCAGGTATGTTATTGTTATATATGACGTTTATTCTTTGTACCTCACAATGGTGAGACATTCTGTTCACCCTGTTAGGTCATACCCATGCTGGGCAATTCTACGTCCTTGTTCCTGTGGTTTTCTGGATGCTACCTTATTATCATGGTTTGTATGATCTACAGCATGGAAAGCTTTTAGTATCAGCTGGAACTTTATACCAGGTAATGTAGTTTTCGATGCATTCTAAGACGGTATTAAACGGCAGATTGTTTCAGGGTGCTCCAATGAAAATGTTGGGAATGTCAGAGATCTGGGTTGTTACCCTTTCTAAAGAAAACTAGGTAAATGTTGTGTGATTTCCCTATAGTTTCGCCATCTAAAACGTTTGATTGTGTTCTCCCTTTGTTGATTGTAATCAACTTTGTTTATTCTCTGAGAGGCACCAGTTATTTGTAAGTGCTGTGCTGATGTTAGGCTTCATTTCATCTATCAAATCTTTATAAGAGAGGTATGGTTGTGTTTTTTTTTTATTCATTAGGATATTTCATATTAATTCTTAACGATTGAGCGTGGTTGTTTTTACTTTAAGAGATAAATTTTCTTTTTTAAGAGTTTTCATTCGTAGGCCAGTGGTACTATATCCTATTGTTTTTTTTTTTCTTATAGAGAACAGGTTTAAGTCAGGACCTGCGACCTTAGGAACTTGGTTTTCAAGCATACCTCAGTTTGATTTTCTGTATTTGGTGAACTGTTTCTTGCGTTTCGTGTCATTTTTGGATATCTACTCTCCCTAATACGTGTTTTGCTGTCAAAATCAGTCGAAATGTCCATTCTTGCGGAACCGCGTAGAAAACAACGGCTGAGTGTGGATCCACAAAATCTGCATTGGAAAGATGATAAACAAAAACTGTCGCGGCGGCTTATGGAACGCATGGGATGGTCTGAGGGCGACGGACTAGGCAGGAGTAGACAAGGCCAAGCTGGACCGTTGCAACTAAAGGCGAACTATTCAGGGAAAGGTTTGCGTAGTTCAGTTTTATAAAAGTTTAATTCAGGATATGTTGTCAATATTGCTATTGATTCACGTTAGGTCCAAGTTGGCTTTTCGGTTAGTACTAACCATGAAGCTAATTATTTCTGTTTTATTTTCTTGGGATCAGTTTAGGGAAATATCCAAACAATTTACATTTAACTGCTTTTTTTGGTGAGACCAGTTCTTCCTTTTTTATAAAATCTTGGGTGAAGTTCTAAAGCTTTCACTTCTTATGTACTGACTAAGTTCTGTCCATAAAGGTTTTGAATTTCTTGGAATTTCTGAACAGGTTTAGTCATGGGTTGATATTCGAAGTGAAAATTCAGGCCTTTTCAAATTTTCATTGACCTTTCTAAGGAATGACTCGATTTACGCTGTTTCAACGCACAAGAAAACAATGACTGTGGGCTGGCTAACCGTAATTGGTAGTTACAATGAACATGGCTTCTATAGGGACGGAACGAGTTGTTCCTAAGTTCGCTTCCAATATTGGCATTTTGTACTCTCGATAAGTTTGAGCTTTTACAGTTTTCTATTTGCTAATCTTAAACGATGTTGATGCAGGGCTCGGTGCTGACAAATTAGCATCATATGATAGTACCTGGATAGGCCACCATGAAGACTTTGCCGACATTCTCAACTCCCTGAACAAGCTTAAAGGGCAGGTAACGTAGATCTGATATCCGTGGATATGTTTTAATTTCAGCACTGTGGAGCCCAAATCGGTATTGAATCCAGTTAAGCTGTGGCTATAGTTATAATCACATTCTTAACCTTTTTATTCACTGCCTATTCTTTTGAGACAGGCGAAACGAAGGACCCGCATGGTGTGGTGGAGAACGCGTTACTCCCCGGAAAGGACAATAGCGCGTTCGTTCTCCACCGCAGACACCTGCGGCCCAGAGTTTTGCAAATATCTCAGCATTACAGAACAAACACTTTTGTTCTGCAGCGTTAAAACTCCAGTTTTCTTGAGCTCATGGGTAGTTTTTCCTCTTACTATGTGTCACATTGATCCGCGAGTTGATTGGAAAGTTCAAGCGAAAAGCCATTGTATCCCTGGGTGAATCGTGGTTTCTTTTTATCTTGAAATTAAAAATTGGAAATAACAACTCTTTTTCATGAGTCTTTCATTGCCTCAAACATTCTACTTACCCAATAATTCTTAACAGCGAAAAAGTACTAGAGCATCATCGCGAATCTATTAAGCAATGTAATGAAGTGGTAACAGCTTTTAGTGTAATAATTGTTTATTCACTATTCACAGTGGCAATTATTTGTTCAGAATTCCGTTGAAGACGAGCAAAAAGAAGACCAGGTGAAGAAGATCTCACTGGAGTTGAATAGTAAAAGCCTACGACGAAGAATCCAGTACGTAACCTCTCATCTATTTTTTCTACAACAGTGTAAACTATTTATGATAAATTACTTCAGCTTTGATGTTTTATATTGAATTCTAAGAAGTTGTTCGCGATGGTTCGGGATCCAATCGTATTGCAGTTACCAGAAGTTTGTTCGTTCTAAAGACGTCTCGAGTTACTCGCCAAGTGACCGTTCCGCTGTAATTGGAATGGGTTTGAGCAGAATTAGACCAGGAGATTCTAAAAAAATGGAGTCCTCAAGAAAGGTAGAACCAAGAAATGATGGCGTCTATTCATCGGACTCGAAGACGACAGTGAGCACGCTGTCGGTTAACGAATACTTCGCTGTTAAGATGGCTGCCTTAAAGGCTAAAACGGAACAGACTGTAGACGAAACGAAGGTAGATTTCCTGGTTCTATTTTGCATTAATGCTCAGTTCCCGAAAAATTTTCACAGTAAAGTGAGATTTCATGTGTCTTTTTAACATCCTGTACATGCCTTTTTAAGACTACATTATTATTTTATTTGGAAAGTACGGATATGAGAAATATCTTTTTTCTTGGACACTTAGATACTTGAATGGCTTATCCTCATTGGTTGTTCGGGCCTCAGCATAATCTCCACTTTTTCGGAGTTTTGCTGGTTTAGCCATTGTGGTTTCCTGGAGTCCAGAGGTCAGCCAGGCCAAAGTCTGCCCCTTGGTCGCCACTACCGCAGGTAGTCGCCACCACTGTGGATCAGAGGGAGACTTGCTACCATGCGACTATTTCGATGCCAGAACGATGGTGGATCCTGGTATTGGTTTACTCTTAACTGGGCTTCCTGACGGAAACGCCGGACTCCTTAACTTGGGAGACCCTGCTGGGGGATGAGTCTCTTTGCTATATTTCGCAGCCCGACACTCAGGAACACCTTTCAGCCACGATGAGGCGGTGAACTGTTGGAAGGGATGTCTTGTTTCTCAAACTGCAATAGTGTAATAGCTCAATACGTTGGCACATTAAGGTAACAACGATGTCAATGTCAATACTACTCGTGGCCTAAGATTAAGATCAACATCTTTATTAGATTACCATAACAAATTCTGCCACAACGTTTTAGAATTTCGTATTTTTCCGTTTTTGGTTTTATTCCTTCAAACTTCTCGGGATTCACAACTGATTCTTTTCATTTGTGTATGTCAGCTCTGATCCAGACCACCTCCGCCATTCAATGTTTTTGTGCTTCGAATTTGAATATACAGCTACTGTGGTGCACCTTACAAATGTTCTGATCTTGGTTCGATCTTCAATTTTTGACTGATAATGAGTAGAGGTTGCGCATCCTAATGACGAGTACATCAACTATGAAGACCATGCTCCATGTGGTTGCTCAGCTGCGCTGGATTTCCATGCACTAAAATAAAAGGAAACTTATCCCATCTAGTCGAATGTCACAACCGAGGTCCACAGTAGTCAACCATATAAGATGAAGGACTCTCTCGATATCGACTGATAGCACATGTAAAAGAAATTAGCGAGTTAACGTACTCGATTTGAGCTGGAAGAATATGATTCACATGATATATAACCGTGGTGAACTCGCTACAGAGTACCAACTAGTCAAAGTGGTGCAGCTCCTTCTTTACGAAGATAAAATGCTGTCAAAACATGATATCGAAATTATATTTGGCGTGTTTCTCAAGTCAAGTGTTCAAGCCAGCGCTTTTTACCGTGAAGTCTAACTCGATAGATGTAGGTAGACCTTATGGGCTAGGAATATCGCATTGATTGAAGGTGGTTTGATTTCGTATAAAAGATTGCTCCAAGAGTGTTATTTTGCAACGGAACTTTATTTTCAATCCAAAATTTAAAAATTGTGCTCGCAGCTTGTGATGATACATTAAGCAACACTATCGTATGTCTTATTCTAGTGGAATCTTATTCTAGTGGAATCCCGCTTACCCACTAGCTTTCGTGTTCAACATATGAGCTTTGAAGGAATAAGCTGGAAGACATGTCATTGGCTCAAGAGATTCAAAATTTCGTCTTAACGAGATAAGATAATATGTTTCTTGTAGATAGACAGAGAGACTACTACATTTTTGTACCTCATTTAATAAACTTCACTGCGAGCTGAGACGAGCTGAGCTTGATTTAAATGAAACCGCCCATTGTTTTCGCATCGTATAACTCCTCTGGAGGTGACGCCGTAACGTAAATTTTAAGCCTACACTTGTCCATGTCAAAGCACTGCGCTCTGTTTGCTCGACTGATGTGAAAAACCTCAAACTTTTGGTAGGACACCTTGTATTTTTACTGTTTTCACAACGTAGCCACGGTTAGCTCGCTAGGCTCAATCGTGGGATAGGCATATTCTTACCTGTGTGTCCTTATGAACATTGAACATCTTTCCCCTAACGGGGTCTGGTGAGCTGTGTAGTGTGTGTAGTAATTTTAAACAGGAAAATCGAGGCTGACGCCGTTAACCACTAGGAGAAGCGCCACGTGCATATTCAATTCCTTGAGCATACGTTTCCTACTGATAAAAGTCTTCGAAATTATGAACATTTATAGTTTCATTGTTTTTGAATCATTTAGTATCTCGTGGATCCAATTTCTTGAATTTCAGGTAGATATGGAGGAGGACGTTCCAGTGACGAAGGCCAGTGAGGAAATGGAGCAATATACTGAGAAGAAGAAAACAAAGGGACAAAAGAATAAAAAGAATGAGCTCAAAGGACAGAAGTCATTAGAACACCAAACACTCAATGAAACCTGTGGAATAGAAATTAAGCTTTTTGATGAAGAGCAAAGACTATCCCTGAAGACCGAAAAGAATGGACGAAAGAGACGGAAAGGAGAAAAGAAATGTAGAAGGATGGAGCAGCTGGAAGTCAGGGTAAGGAATAATTCTATACTTCATTGGAAAATGCAATTCCACAGTTTAGAATAAGAATTGTACTCTTGTTCAGGAGTTCGGCTAATTCATGCTGCTTATTTGTCAGTACATTAAACTTTCTTGTTCGTTTTCCATACGTTAATAATGCATGCATCCAAATTCTCATGGATAATCGGCCGCTACTTTAGGAATTTGATTGATTGACTTCATTAAATGTCGTCGAATTAAAGTGAAGCAAATTTTCCTTATAATCCTGGGGAGTATGCTAGAACCTTCATCACGGGTACTCATTGGATGTTGTGAATCGAAAGGAGGTTTTCTGAGACAAATATTGTAGCTAGCTGAGAGACAGGCAAAACGAGGTACCCGGATGGTGTGGTGGTGAAGTGCGCTACTCTCCGGTAAGGACAATAGCGCGCGTTCGTTCCCCACCGCACACGCCTGCGGTCCGGAGTTTTGCAAATATCTCAGCATTATATACAAATATTGTATTGTAATATTTTGCTGGTCCCGTTAGAATGGGAGGCTTGGGGCCTGTTCGGACCAGTTGCTATAGTTATGTTTCAACTTTAATACCTCAGTAAACCACAATGTTGAGCGTAGAGTTCTTAATCTGTTACATTATGAGTTGAGGTCATACAATCAAACAGAAACGGCAGGTAATACATTCGCGGTGGCTTGCAGTGCTGCCAACTTTTGGTGGTCGATTTTGCAACATTGTTAAATGTAAATTGACTTCATATATCCGTAGATCCCTTACTATGACTTTTGAGCAGAGGAAAATAATCATTTGTTGTTCAAGAATCGGATTTTAAGTGCTACAGTCATGTCCACGTAAAACAGATTGGACTTCATTTTTGATACGCCATTTATCCAAAATAAAGAAAGACAGTCAAGAGAGGATACGGTAACTGGTGAACCTCCAATACTTTCCATTGAACAGTTAGAAGAAAATTATTCAGAGGATGAAGATAATGTCGATGAGGTCAGCGGTTAGTGGTGAAGTAGTATGGTGCCCAATGACACCAGGCTTATCTGGAATGGATTTAGCTCTTGGGTGCGAGCACTGCACCGATTTTTACTTATTATTTGTGGCTGATGCAATGGCTCAAGGAGTTATCGTGGCGGTTTAGATGCAGTCCCAGGAGCCAAGATATTACTTCGACCCTCTCCCAACTCCCTCCTCTGTTCCACGTAGGACACCTTAGCTCAGTTATCTCCAAGATTGCAGGGCGAGTCGACTCAACCAGCATTCTAGGGTATTCATAAAGAAGACGAAGTCTTTAAGCAGCAGTCGAAACAACGAAAATGTTCGAAGAGTTTTTTGGGCAATCAAGAGAAAAACCAATCTAATGCAAGAAGTGGTGCGATTCGGATAGTAGGTGTGACGGCTGGTCATGTAGTAGTGCCCATGTAACGTGATATTTCGGACTGCTTGTGAAACATACAGACAATTATGGGCAAGAGAAATAATCGATGGTGAAAATCGACATCTCTAGAAACGATGAAGACAACAACGGAAATTTTGAGGAGCTGTTTAGTCACACTCATTGCCGACAATACGAGCTGTAATGTGGACAATTTATAAAGATTAGATCACTTATCGAGCTTCTCAATAGAAATTTGTTGGGATTTACAGGATCGGCGAAAATATATTGTATCGATGAGTTCCTTAACGTATAGATGGAAAGTTACAATCTGGCAAGATATCACAAATATGACGCCCAAGTATGCGTTGGAACTTCTAAGCACCACATTGATATGATTTCCACCGAACCCAGTCCGCAGATTCATCGAGGGCGGAAGTTGTTGAAACTTGTGATCTGACAGAACTGTGGGCATAAGTGACCAAGTAATCTTTCTCCCTGTGTCGAAATTCAGGCGTCTAAATGTTTCTGTTTAGGCTTGTGTTTTGTTTTGGTTTGTTTTTTTTTTGTTTTTTTTTTTTGTATTTTTGTTTCTGTTTTTTGTTTCTGTTTTTTCTGTTTCTTTTCTAAATGTTTTTCTGTCTTCTGTTTTCTGTTCTGTTTTTCTGTTTTTTCTGTTGTTTTTTCGCAATAATGTCCACATGAAGTGTGATTTCCAAAGCGTACAAATTCACTGCAATTATTGTAAACTTACATAAAACTGTTAATTGTACGGATTTTAAAATAATTTTATTTGAACACAACTCAGTAAAAAACCCATAATGTTCCCAGAATTTCACTGCGTACAAGAATGATAACGAGTGGGGCACTCACTGTCCATAACTTATGTGATAAAAGATATCATTGTTTCTTATCTAGCAGATAGGAAATTTCTTATCACGAGGCAAACAAACGTACGAGAATGTTGTTGTGTAGTGGCAAGTGTGGATTTTGCTGGATGACACCTTTTAAAACATCTGTGATTAGGAGGCTATCAGTCGAGTACAAAAAGCCTAGCGACAAGAAACGTTGTACTACAGTAAGTAGGAAGTAAAAACTCGGAAAAAAATGATTGATGTATGACTCATATACACGTTCTGCTTCCGCACTATTGAATACAGTTGAATCACATACGATCCCACAATTTTGACTTGTTATTTACTGCCTATTGGGATTTTTCACGGCAGGGTGTTGTGTGTGATACAACCATAACGATGCTGAGGAGATATTTACAAAACTGCGGACCGCAGAAGTCTGTGGTGGGGAACGAACGCACTATCACCTTTTCCGGAGGCTAACGTGTGCACAATCTTAGCATGCGGTTCCTTTGTTTCGCCCGTCTCAGCTAGTTCTGTTGATCAGTGTCATCAGCAACCACCCGTCAGCGGGATTGATCTGGGGAACCCAAATCGGCAGCGAACCCAGTTATTTGCAGCGCGGTGGGAGCGTGCATCTGCGGTCCAGAGTTTTGCAAATATCTCAGCATCATTGTTGTTATATACGAGACGTTTCCTCACATATGTTTTAATGGTTACTGGGAACTGCTTCTCCAACACATGTAAAAAAGATGCAGTGATATTGGCGATTTGAGATTTTTAAGGTTGATCAGGATGCAGAACTAGAAGTGGTTTGCAGTGACTATGAGGGAGCTTTTATTGTGAAAGGACACAAAAGGACAAGAGAACGAGCTGACGAGAATGAAGGTATTATAGATTGAGAGTACCATTTTTAGGTAGAAATAGCCGTTTTTAATGAGCATATTTATTATCAGTCAGGATCGATTTTACACAGAGTACCGCTTACATCTTCTTACTTTTCTTTTAGCTGACGCTATTGGTTCCGAAGAAATTGTCTATAAAGCAAGGAAAGGAAAGAAAAAGAGTAGGAAATCGTCTGAGCAGTAGAGCACTGTTTTCGTGGATATGCGTCGTTGTTATTGTTAAATCTTTTCACTGGTTATTTTCTTGTTAACGTTTTATCAGTTCTATCGTTTCATAAGTCATTGTCGAACTTGAAACACTGTTCACTCCAACTTTTGAAATAATTTCTACAAAGCATTCATTCATAGTCGACTTTAGTTCAAATTAACGCAGGCGACCGAAATGGGTACACGCCTCTTGAAACGTTTAGCGAGGATTTTTACCGTACTTTTTGTATGTCATCGATAGATTATCTAACAAATGTAATTATTGGTCGTGGATCGTGAAGAAATTTTCTATGCACTTAGTAATTTGCGAAAGAAAATCACTTTGGACGAGATTATTTTGTGGCGGGAGGGTATTGCTGTTGAAGAATGTACAGCATAGGTAGTATGGGCAGTGAGGTAATATAGAAATGCTTCTGCTTGAACACTAGGACTCGGCACTTAGTGAAAGATGTTCGTTACTATGAAATGATAGTTGGACCATCGAAAAGAATTCTTCAAAGTGACTCGATGTTCACGTGTATCCATCAGTGAGCGCAGTTTGTCTTTCAAAACATTACTTTCACCTATATGTATGTATATACGTCATATCGATTATATAACACATTGGTAATGAAATAGAAAAGCGGAACACTTTAGATAAAGTCATTACAGACGCACTTTTCTGTGGGTATTTTTGTGAGACCACAATGAGAAGTTTTATACCGAATGCACAACGAGATATGAGAGTCGTACTTTTGTATAGATGATGCTTCCAAACAAGAGAATCCATCGTTGCACAAAATCAAGAAAGATCATTGAAATATTTGTAAATCTTAACGACTAGGTTTTTAAACCCCAGTGTACAATATAAATGTAAATCAGGTAAATATTCCGGTGGGACATCGTTGATATCCTATAAACAAGGGATCATCTCCTGAATAAAGGCTTTCTGAGATCACCGAATACCAACAGTCGTAAGCCTGAATGCTTAATTAACTAGAGCTGAATCTCAAGAAAACATGAGAAGAACGGCTCACTTCTAATCCACCATGTCGTGAGAAGTTCTGTTCAATCCAAGTCCTATTGTAATATGTGGTATCGTAATTGTGTCCGGGATCGGCTAACAACGTTGCAATAGTCAAGCGGGCTTTCGGTGGCTTTCTAAAACATGGTTCCAAGATTTCCATCAATCGGACGAGTAACTTTTAATACTTGTAATTTGCTGTATGACACCAACAATTGTTTCGTTTTGAATAACGTTAATCTTCGTACAGTTTGGTGTTCACTTGAATCTACATGTCTCCGTAGACACTGAGTTACTTTTGATCCATCTTACAAATTTCCCCAGAAAAACTACCGGGGGAAAGGTGCTTAAATGGGATGCAGTTGCAGATTTTGGTCTTGTTCTTTGCTTTGCGATGTCTTAGAAATTCTTAATCTTAAAGCTTAAACAAAAAAAGTACTCAATTTAGCGTTGCTGCGATATGCATAGAGGTGAGCAGGTTCAAACCACTGCTGGTACCCCCAGACGCTCCCTGAAAACATCCGTAAGGGTTGGCTTGTATGACGAAGTTGCTGTAGAAAATGAGTGCTTAGAACACGATGGAGAGTTTCAAGTGTTGGTAATGAAACGGTCACCTGCTCGCGCAATACTCCCATAGCGGCAGTCGCGGCCACGTCCGGAACTTTCACCACACGGTCGATAACTGCGGCGTCCATACTAAAATGCAAATAAATAATGCGTTGCTTATGGGACACTTCACAACGATACAGTTATAGGAGTATACTATATAAAACACCTTCTACCATTCTATTGTGGTCTGTGGTGAAGAGATTTTGACTTTCAGACCATAGTCCATCTACTAGGTAGAGCTACCAAAGCTGAGAAGATCATTTCTATTCGGAAACCATGTTAAGAATGAACTTCCGTTCCAAATTATTCCCCATATGGAACGGATGGGTGCGTGTGGCGCACACGGTCGAAGGCGCCCTGCAACACGCAGGTGGAATCGATTCCGCGCCTATAACCCACCAAGCATTTCATCCCTCCGAATTGGCAAGTTGGTACCAGATTTGTCTGGGAGGATAGCAGCACTAGCTCGATACATCGTTAGGCCATCGCGAGTCATTGTACAGGCCATATATGCATTCAATCACTTCCAAACAATGATTAATGAAGTCGAATGCATGGCGCGTCCCTCAGGGATTGATCAACACCGAGAGCTTTATCTTCTAGCTTTATGGAAGAGATGTGATCGAAAAGCGGTAAGCCACTCTGACGAATATAGGTGGGCATCTGGTTGCGAACACTTGCATATCCCAGTATGAAAATCATCCAACAAACAGATTTTCACTCTGATAAGAATTTTGTTAAAAGGATAAAGGATGAAGCTCTCGGCGTTGATCAATCTGTTAGGAATGCGCCGTGCATTCGACTTCATGAAGCATCGTTGGAGGTGATTGAACGCATTATCTGGCCTTTATCTGGATTTTCCCAGCTTATACGAAGAGCTTATTTTTCTGTCAGCTACTTCTTGTTCACTTGATTGCAGGAATTGACGTGGAAGAATACAATCCGCGAATATATAAGAGCATCCGCACACGTATTCAATAATACATCTGCGCATATAGGGAAGACACAATTCACTTTGGCACGACGGGCACAAAAAGTCCATCACCTGAAACACCAACGTCTAAACGAGTGCACAGTTTTCAAATCTTTCGAAAACTACGGGAGAACAAACATTCAAAGAATGTCATCCTATACAACCTTTATATTCGATGGCTAGCTGAAGAGTAACGTAACAAGGCGTAATCACAGAAACACGTAAGAATCGGTGAGGTTAAGTCCATATACGATGGAAGTAAAGTGATTACGATGATGACAATACGCTTCTATGTGAATTCTGTGCGGTTGGTCTTCACACGACATACTCAGTGGAAGACTCATAGAAAGCGGCTCTGAGGAAGGCGAAATCCGCCGAAACGTCAGCTTTTACGTGAGTGGTGAAGTGGGATAGCACCTCGTGTTTGCTGAACAGAAGTGGGAAGAATTGTTCAATCAATGCCGAGGTTAATAGAAAATCGGGAGTAAAGTATTGCTGTCTAATACTAGATAATCTTTCTCAAATAGAACAGATCTTCAACTATTCGCTGTAATGTGTGCGTGTTCCATCAGTGGTACAGTAAGGTGTAAGATCGGACAGTATTTCATCTGCATCGGACAATACGCTGAGGATTAGTACACACTATTTTTGCAAAAGTGAGAAGCATCCGTTGTGCTTCTATATTACTGAAGCCTTTGTTCCTATTTCTAATAATAATTTTTTTCCTAATTTTTTTTTCCTAATTTTTCTTTTTTTCTTCTTCTTAATTTTCTTAATTAGTTCCTAATAATTTTAAACACTTAAATAGCTAAGATAAGCACTTTAGAGCTTCTTCGGTTTCTCATCTACGAAGAACACTGGGATTTTCATCACATCACGGCGAAAAACACAAACGACATTGTGTTTATATTGCTGAGCTTACACGAGGTTGATACGAAATGTTTATTCGGCTAATGTTTCGACGTCTTCGTCTTCATCAGAGCCGAGGGTCCTTGTCGATGGTCCACAGTTGTTCCTTTCCTCGATGTGGCGTCTTCACCTCTCATCGAACCGGATCCTCCTCAGTTAAGCATTTTGAGTGAGCCGAACACACCCGCGACGCTCTTTTGTACAGGGTGGTTGATGTTGATATGACTATCAGTTAATGACAATTTGTTTTTCAACTGATAATCCACCTTGCTGCAGTCGGTATTTTGTTAGCTAGCACATAGCGATTAGGAACACAATACTTTTGGAGCCGACCGTCATTAAACCTCGGTAATAAAATAAACGACATTTAGCGCCATACCTCAGGCTGATCCAATGACCTGACACAGGCACAGTCCTCGCCCATGTATTACTCTTTGCGGCAGCTATCCACCAACTAACTTTAATACTTACAACAAATAAACGGTAGGTGTTTGAATGAAGCTGTTTCTTATGCGAATACAAATTTATTTGTTAAGTTTTATCTGTTGGGGTTATGAAAGTGTTTGACCTGAGTAGATCACATCTCAATTTGACCTTTCCAGGCTCTGAAGAAGGCGAAACCGCCGAAACATCAGCTACTGTATCCTAATAAATTCTATAATAACAACCTCGTGTCTGCTTATTAAGGAGAAACATCGAATAAACGACATTATTTGGTGTGAACCTCAGACCACATTTCGAGTAGTTAAGAACAGATTTCTTGTAACACCGCTAAGGGAAATGTGATAAATTATTCCTTATAAAACAACTAAAGTGCGCAATTTTAGTCTCGAAGAAGCGTTGTTATGTTAATGCTTAAGGTTTACATATTGTTGTATTCGATATATTGCCCCAGCAATAGGTAGTCTTTGCTGGAGATTCACATGAATGAGGCCGTACACCTTAATAACACGAGATGGCTGCAACCATAATCTTAGAACTTATTAGATGGCATTACTAACAAACCTAGTTGTTTCACCCTTCCGTGCCATACCCATTGGCCCGTAACCAATCCCGGCCATTCCAGGATCCACCCAAAAACTTGCTCCGGACTCGTTTTTGAATCTGAAATCTCTTTTGAATACCAAAAAAAATCGACGTTGAGCAGAACAATACCACAATAGAGTTTTATCATTGCCATTTGCAGTTAGAACATTTAAATGTTTCAAAAAAGAAAAATTTTTATGAGGTCAAGCTCTGAAAGAGCTAACCTATCGTGCAAAACGTAGTCGTAGTAAATAGAAAATTGCGTATCAGCCAGAACGACTTCTGTGTTGACACCGTATTTCCTGACATAACGACCAACCGAAGAAATCGTACCACCTGCACGCTAGGAAGAATAACGTTAAGGTGTTGCAAAGGCTCGTCTAATACCCACTTGTATATAGGTATTCGTTCTTCATTTGGAAGGAATTGAAATGTTTTGTCTAACCACGATAATTAGATCACTAGAAAAAGTAGGTTGATTGGTAAATGATTGCTGATAACATCGTTAGGTTAAAAATTAGCTGAAAAAAAGTCAAAGCAAGAGCCTCGGTGGTGAAGTGGATAAGACTTGAGCCACCGGAAAAGGGTAGCCGCGGGTTAGAATCTAGTCTGGGGTCCACGTTTTGAGAATATCTCAGTATCATAGTAGTTGTACTTCGCATCACACCCTGACGTGAAAGAAATAAGAGCCAGTGAATTAAAAAGTTCGAAAAACTCTTACTTTCCATTGTTACGAATTGGGATCCACTAAAGAAGCATTCGCACTATTGACGTCCTAGAAGTTGCATGTACTCTGTGGGCCAAGGAGAGAAGTTTGTAAAACAAGCTTAGAACTCCATGCACTTTGCTTGTTGGTTGAGCTTTTTTTTTCAGAAATCCGACCACAAACCCATTAGTGAATAGAAAGGAAATTTTATATCGACTTGAATGTATCAGAGGCAAACTTGTCAACACCTATTGTCAGACTTCCTTTTATGTTAATAAAGTTATGGCCAGTGATTCTGGAGTACACACGACCTAACTCCATTGAAATGGCTAACCTGTGCCGGCAGCGTGAACGAAATAATGAGGTACTTTCACATCCTGTTTTTCATCGGCCTCTAGTTGGACGAGAATCTCATGCATAATGTTAGCCGATTCAAACGGGAATCCTCCACCTAGACGCAATATTTAATTGCTTGATTATAGTTTATTGGGTTTGATATTCGGATGAAAATAGTTCACTAACAAATGTTTCGAGAAGCGTCTATAGATCATCAATGGCGGAAACAAGTTGAAATACGAAAGCGAAAATGACCTTAGGGCTTCTTATTCTTTTCTCTAATAAAGATAGAACATTGGTCTGAAATTTTGAACCGCTTCCATTACAAGAAACCCACTTTCGTGAAATTCCTCGGCCTTATCGGCGTTACCAAATTGGTTCATGAAAAATCCACCATTTTCAGCTGCTATCTTTCGTGCGTAAACTAACCTGTAATTAGTACTAGCAAACTCATGTGAACTCATTAAGAATGCCTTGAGAAAATGAAGAACTTAGTCCAATAGGAAGTCGAAATTGGGAGGTGTATTCTGTATTCTTGATGAGCAAATGAGAGGTTGTTGCTTTATTCTTTATCTATGAATAACCTGACGTTTAGGAGGATTTCACTAACACCAGAGCCTGGGTCAGTCAAGCTGAGTGCAATCTACCTCGCCAAAACATCACCATAACCAAAGCAGGAAGAACACTAAACCAAAATTTCAATCGCATTGAAAGCGGAATAACGTCTTCGCACGCTCACCGCCTTCTATGAGTCGTCCACTGAGTATTTCACGTGAAGATCAACAGCACAAGGTCTACATAGAAGCGTAATGTGCCTCTCTCACATTAAAGTACCACTATTAAATACTGTATGAGATTACGCGGGATGACGAACACCATCCCTGCGGCCCATTTTCGGATTCTTGGATTTTATCCAGAATGCATCGACAGTTTTGCGTGTTTGTGCTATCGATTCCTTATGCGTGGACGTTAATTACTGCTTCAAAGCCTTTCCTGTTATGTCCCTGTGTCCTGTGAGCGCCTAGTGGAGTATTTGGTTTAGCTTGAAGTTTACCGACTAGATGTTCTTTTATATGGATACAGAGTGCTCTACCCGTTTCGCCAATGTATTCTTCCCCGCAGACTTAACAAGAGATCAGATCATCGTCTCTACCGTTAGGACATATATGGTCATATAGGTGGTTACGAACCAGCTGGCATAGTTAGAGTCGATGGTATTTCAACCACTACTACCGAATTCTCTAGACCGGCTCCTCTTAAGCAACGTTTTGTAGTTTCACTTATTTCGTTGGAAATGGAGGGCAGAATAAACGGAACCTTATTGTCGCTAGAATTGTCGTTTGGGCACTTGGGCTGTTTCGTAGCTGTTTGAAACATGTTTCTTACAAGCGCCCTTTTTGTGTTTGAGGGATGATAAGAGATGTAATGAACCACTAAGCTTTTACTGCTTTGGTTTACCCACCACTTCGTGAGGTAGCCGATATCGGATAAATTAATTTGAACGTTGAGAAATGGGAGTCAGTTTTCTTTCGATTTCCATCGGGTGAATATTAGGTACTCTAACTGTCCGTTAAATAACTCTAAACGTTCGCCCATCTCCTCATGTGCGGAGCAGATAACAAAACAATCGTCTATATGTTTACAGTAGAGTAACGGACGGAGACCGAATGCTGGTGCTTCAATCATCGACATGATCCCATCGCCACACATGTCTATTGCTTCTTCGTCTTGGACAAGGAGTTCGAGGATAGCTTGCATAGCAGAGTATTCGACACGTTTGCATAAAGATCGGTAACGTCGAAGGACTCCATCCATCATGTATGCTCTGTTACGACGCGCATTTCGCGGGCGATCAAGAAGCATCTGGGTGCCCATTTGTGTTCCTCTTTGAATGTGAACGATGAGATAACTAGCGTTACGTTCTTGCAATACCTTACTGAATAACAATGGAATATAGCGTTATTTTCTGGTGGTTTCATTGTTCACGCTATTTAAACCATACCAATAGTTTCTATTAAAACTTAACAGCAGTAGTATGAGAACAATGGAGAGGTTTCAATCAGTCGTTTTACACAGGTCAATTTAGACGCGTCTAGGACAATTCCGTCTTCAGCTTTATCTCACCTCATGACACGTGTTCGTCATGAACTTTCGTTGAAGCGAACAGATAGGTAAAATCTGTTCCGCACCGGCTTCTTTTTGTTGCTTGACGCCAAGACGGTGCACTCTTGCGAGCCGTTTTCGATGCCGTGTACACCAGCTCGATCAACACCTTTTTAATGAATTTAGCCGTTACTGAAGTGGGTTTATACTTGAGCAATTCTTTCTTCCAGTCTGCGCCGCAACTGTGGTTTCTTTTATATTATTCTATTAACAAAATAAAAGGAAATCTACTTAAACTGTCAAGAAACAACGACACTTACCACACGTCGCCGAGCAAAGTACTGTGCATTAACGACTGCTACCAGTAGAAAGAAACAGTTTTTTCTGTATTAATCAAAATCGTCACCATTAGGTGGCTAGTTGCTTTCTAGCCAGTTAACAACAAAGTGTTTCACGAAATCAACCGCAGGAAGAAATGCCTTGTAATCATGCGCGATCTCACGCATTATTCAAGACTGATGTTTTATCGTGAGAGGCAGATTACGCTTCCATGTGAACTCTATGCGGTTGGTCTCCATGTGAAATACTCAGAATAGTCATAGAAAGCGATGAGTGTGTGAAGAAGCTGTTTTATTTCCAAAGCGACTAAAGTTTTGGTTTTTAACTTTCTTTGTTTCGGTTATAGAGGTGTTTGACTTTGTACATTGCAGTCAACTTGACCAATTCAGGTTCTCAAGAAAGCGGAACCTTTTAGTAAACTTTCAAAAGTCTCTGGAATAGTTCCATAGATGATTAAGCTCTGGAATATGTTTTCTTCTCAAGACCCACTTACAGCCTTCATCAATACTCTAGAAGTTCTTTATTTTTAAAAACATTTGTCCATGTTTTTAAATGTATTTTGAAGAAAACCTCCGTGATATGATTTAATGTGCGGATAAAAACCTTTCTCTATGGAAGTGCCAACTTTTTTTTACGGCGAAAGAACAATCTAGTTTACGACAAATGCGCAAGGATAACGGAAATTGACTCCTTGGAACTCTGTGAAAACGAAGGTAATTTTTTACTTGAGTATTTGAGGAATTCACAACGTCAATGATTTATAGGAGAGGCTTTGCTCTATTGCAAACCACTTGAGTATTTCTATAGTCTTAACTCTTTTATTTACTGCCTTTTTCTTCTTAATGGCAGGGTATGTTGCGAAATATAATTCGTATGAAATGCTGAGATATTTGCAAAACTCCGGACCACAAGTGGGTGTAGTGGGGAACGAACACGCGCTGTTGTCCTTACCAGGGAGCAGCGCAGTTCCGGGACCCGGACGGTGTAGTGGTGAAGTGCGCTGCTCCCCGGTAAGGACAACAGCGCGTGTCCGTTCCCCACTGCACACACCTGTGGTCCGGAGTTTTGTAAATATCTCAGCATTTCACACGAGTTATATTTCTATAGTGTTCTTTCAAATTTTAATGCCTATGTTTAGAACAACTGCTTTCAAAAAAGTTGATGACGACATCAAAGTTTTTTAAGTTTTCAAGAGAAGAGTGGCAACTGTAAACACAAGCGACATATCAAGGACCAGAATGATATCCTACTAGACGGAATCCTTGTTGGTTTGTCTTGACGATTCAAATATGAGCCTTAAAGCAATTAAGCGAAAAGGAAGTATATAACGCGCTCCATAACGTCACAATTTCATCGTGGTATAACCAAATTTTTTAAAGTAGAAGGCTGCTAATATTTCTGCATCGCATGACTCCTGTATAGGTCACGCCGACGCGTTACTCTTAAGGAGAAAAACAACGTGCATACTTTTTTAAAATTGCCTCACCTTTCTCCTATAGGAACTTTGATGATTCTACCACCATAACCTTCTATGTAGCTTGCTTTGATATCTTCTATGGTGTCAGGAACCTGAACGCAATAGAAGTAGTATTTTGCAAACCTTCATAATAGTTTGCTCAGAAATAATGCAGTAATATAAGACTGAAAGCGTTAGCAAATTTTTATTACTGTCATTAACTGGGAACTGTAGTAGCTAATAGTAGAAGGATGTGAAATGGCACCTATGTAATATAACACATTGATGACGATGTCAGTTTAAGACGGATCACATTCGAAAACCAGTACGAGATGAGATGAACAATTAATGCCCTACACCTTTTTTTGTTTATTTTCCATGACGTTCCCTTCCGATCCTCTTGCACTAAATCAGCAACTATGAAGTTCATTATGCATCTAGCGCAAAGCTTAGGGGCATCCTGCACCAAACACAGGGCTTTGGTTCGATATGGCGCGGTGGGCTCACCAAGCATTCAATCTCATGAGGTGAGCAAATAGGTCCTGAAGCTATCTGAAAGGATAGCAACGCTGAGTTGTTACATCAGTAGGTCATCACAAGTTATTATAGAGGCCACAAATGCATTCAAATCACTTATACAATCCTTGGTGACGTTCAGAGTTCTATGGACAACGAAAGCTTTATCATTTATCCGTTGATGTTATAAACGTCATTATTGAAAGGCACAGATGAGCATTATGAGATGGGCACATTACGATTCCATGTGAACTCTGTGCGGTTGGTCTCCACGCGACATACTCAGTGGAAGACTCATAGAAAGTGGTGAGTGTGCAAAGACTCTGTGTTCAATGTGATTGAAGTTTTGGTTCAGCGTTTTCTCTGTTTGGTTATGGAGGTGTTTGCCCGTGTAGATTGTAGTCAACTCGACCTTTCCAGGCTCTGAGGAGGACGAAATCCGCTGAAACGTCAGCTTGTATGTAAATAAAGAAATAAAGTAACAACTCGTGTTTAGTGAACAGAAGTAGAAAGACTTAGTTAATTAATGTCGTTAATAGAAAGTCGGACGTGGGAATTATTGAAAGAATTCACTCAGTGAACTAAAAATCAACACATTTCCATAGCCATTATTAAAATAGCAACATTTCTTGAATTAATTACACCTAGTATTGATTTTTATGGCATATTTCCTGTAGTTGCAGAGCGGTTATAGCTCCTTGAACAATGACTATCCGGCTTTGTGTTGATGAACCGGTGTCTTTCAGAACATGGCGAATTGAGGGAGGAGATTACCGCTATGAATCAAACTAAGGTTTCCTTGGATCTTGAACTGATCCAAATTTATTTCTGCAATTTTTGTGGTATATCTATTTTGCCCAACATTCCTGAATGACGATGGAGAAGGAACACATGTACCACTTGTTCGTTTGGTGACAAATGAGAAATAGGACGTGATCAGGTTCTTTATGACTAGAACTAGTTTCGTTTGGTTGTTGCCTTCGATCACTTGCAGCTGTTGTTTAGCAGAAAAGGTCTTGTCATTCGTCATGGAAAGACCGTTTCCTTGTATATCTCCACATATGATCTTGTATATAATACACAATCATGAGTCCATTGCATTTCCAGGTGTCTTTTCTTCAATTTTTGTTAACTCAACTGCTTGAAAAGCTCGTCTCTCGCATTCTGTTGCACCCACGGATCTCTCTCTAGGTTCGACTCTTGCCGATTAATCGTAGAGGAACGGGGTATGTCACTGGGTAGCAGATAGGAGGGAGTTGAGCGATCTTGTGCTTTCTTGAGACGCAGGTGGATCCAGGCAACGGACTCCCTGTTTCTGCTGCGCCGATTTGGCACATACTTTCTGTATTTGCTAGGTGTATTTATGCATGCGTGTGTGGGTGTGTTCTCGCTTATGCGGTTTGCATTCTACGAGTCACTTCGGCCAAAAGCCTGCAATGAAGTGACAGGGAAGTATATGGGAGGCGGTTAGGAGTCGCCTCCAACAAATATGCTCCCGTTTACTATAGGAGGGTCAGGCAAGCTACTCATGAGTATAATCAGCCCCCACCCTCAGAGTTCAGCAAGCTATACATAGGCATCAAACGCTAAACGTAACGAAATGAACAAGCCTCATTCCTCTGACACCGAAAGGGTTCCTGGCACTGTAGAAGGAGTAGGACTGTCTTCAGAAACGAAACAGAGTTGATACGCCAGCGCCGAGATACGGCTAAAATCTCTCCGGCCCATTCAGGCACCCAAAATTCAAAAGAACTAAAGTTAGAAACGTCTGCTTTCAGGAACACCAGAACTGATACGCCAGCGTGAAATCGCACGTTGCAGGCAACCATGATCTCACGTCCGAACTTGCAAAACAATCCATAGAGGCGATAAAAGATCTTAAAGAGAGAAGAACAGCAGTTATGGTCGAAGCTACGGAGTTAGGGAAAGCATTTGTAAAGCTCACCGATGCTTCGCCAATTGCAAAACCAAGGTGGTTCCACTTCGATGCCCAGACGGAACAGCTACGGCTTCCAAAAGTGATGGAG